TTTGTTGCCATTTTTCCTGTTGATGTCAGAAAAATTTTTACTGATATTACTCAACTTTAACACTTTTGTTTCATAATCCATTAATATTTTTGAGACAGAATCTTGCTCTGTCACCCAAGCTAGAGTGCAATAGTGCTATCTCGGCTCACTGCAACCTCGACTTCATGGGTTCAAGCAATTCTTGTGTCTCAGCCTCCTGAGTAGCTGGGATTATGGGAGGGTGACACCATGCCCGTCTAATTTTTGTATTTTTAGTAGAGATGGGGTTTTGCCATGTTGGCCAAGCTGGATATTCAGATTCTTTAATGAAAAATCTAGGTTGGCCTTTTTTTTGTTTTTGAGACAGAGGAGTCTCGCTCTGTCGCCCAGGCTGGAGTGCAATGGCACGATCTCGGCTCACTACAACTTCCTCCTCCCAAGTTCAAGCAATTCTCCTGCCTCAGCCTCCCGAGTAGCTGGGATTACAGGCATGTGTCACCACAATCAGCTAATTTTTGTATTATTATTATTTTTTTTAGTAGAGTCAGGATTTCACCATGTTGGCCAGGCTAGTATTGAACTCCTGACCTCAGGTGATCCACCCACCTCAGCCTCCCAAAGTGCTGGGATTACAGGCATGAGCCACCACTCCCGGCTGGTTGGCATGTTTTTAATAGATAACCCGAATAAAACCACATCGCTGTCTGCTCCTCTTCAGTAAGAACAGTACTCAGGAGGCCACAATGCCCATGATGGCACAAGGAAGGCCCTGTTGGAGGCCACAGCAAGACACACCAAACCTGGAAGTGGGGAGGGGCTTCAAAGAATGGTTCCCTGGGGGTACCTTGGGAACTCGATCCCGGGGGACACGGAGAGTGAGGTGGAAAGGAGAAGAACTTGCAGGAAGGAGGTGTACAGAGGCTGGGCTGCACCTGCACCTGCCATCCAATGAGATGACCCACATAAGCCTGCCGAGCACAGCACAAGCGCTGCAAGCATGCTAGCGAATCTGACATACTGGCATTCTGGCGAAAGAAAAGGGGACGGTTCCTTGCTTTTTTCAATGGGCTTGCAGTAGCTTCAAGGTTGGCCACAGGGGCTGCCGTCTAACTCCCACTGAACAGCTGGGTCCAGGAGGCAGGTCCAGCACAGGAGCCCGAGATCCTTGAGGCCCACTGGGAGGGAGCCTGAAGCCGAAGGGAACACAGTGTTCCTGGGAACAGAACAGTCTTTTCCACATGAAGAAGTGTGGCCCAGGAGAAGCCTCTGTCTGCATCTGGCAGGACTGTATTAGCCACTAACACTGAAAATCAGGATGATTCACAGAAAATGTTCTGGATAAAATGGAAGACCTGGCAACACTGAGACCTCATTCCTGTAGGGCATCAATCGGCGTCCCGAAGAGCACAGGTACTGGGCCTGAGCCAGCCGGGCTCCTGCAGTCCCGGGCGAGGCCCTAGAGCATGAGGGGCCCGGGAGGACACCTGCGGAGGGAGTGTCCCCTGGATTTCACAGGCCCCGCACTCCAAGGGTGCCTGTCCAGCCTCATCCTATATGGTGGTGGCGCCCAGGCCCACAAAGGGACACCTTGGCGAGCTCGCAGGAACATCCTGTGCTGTTGCCCAAAGCCTTGGGTGGGCAGCTCTGGGAGCACCCAGGAGCAGGAAAGGTCAGGGAGGAGAAGCTGGGGGAATGGGAGTACGGCCAGCCCCAAGGACCTGTGATTTTGCTAGAAGGGCAATACTTTGGTGCGGTGGGAATGAAGAAGCAAAAGAAAACGTGTGCTGGTGTCACCTGGCCCCTTAGATGAACCTGGGGAAACTGAGGTGGAGGATGAGAACTGGGCGGTCTCCCTAACTTTCGGCGGTGAAATACCGGGAAGCTGCAGGGCCCCAGGAGCTCGCGGGCGCCAGTCTCCACTCCGCCGCCCCGCGCCTACCTTAGGAGAGCCCGCCGAGAGCGCAGTCGCCTACCACGAGCCCCTGGCCTCTCCGCCCCGGCCCCTCCGCGCCCGGCTCCCGGGTTCTCGCCTCGCGCCCCCGCCCCGCCGGGCGCCAGCCTGCGTGTCCACGGCGACGTGCCGAGGCCGGGCCTGAACTGGATCCGCCCGCCCCAGCCCCGCCGCGGCTCCCACAGGCCCGGCCGCCCGCGCGCCTCTCACCCGTGAGGCCGCCGCCCTTGCCGTGGCCCCGGCGCCGCTGCAGCACGAAGAAGGGGTTGGCCCGTTCCGTCACCCACAGCGCGTTGGCCACCAGCACCTCCTCCGGGCTCAGCCACATCGCGGGGCTGCTCGCACAGGGCCGAGGCCCGCGAGGCGGAAGCGCCCGCCGCCGTCGCCGTCCGGGAGCGAAGCGTGCCGGGGCGGGGCCCGGCAGGCGGCGCCCCCTGGCGGTCGTTTGGCGCTCACGCACGCGGCCTGCGCCACGCACCGCCCTCTCCGCCCCGGCCTAGGGCGCGCGCCAGCCTGGCCTCTGAGAGCCGCCTAGCCCCTGGCCTCCGGCCTAGGCCCAGAACAGAACGACCTAGACCGCAGACAGGGGAGCCGCTTGTGCAGAGCAGGGCTTCTGGCGTTTTGAAAGCTGTGCCATGTGAGAGGAAGATGTAAAGATGCAGAGTTTGGCTGCTTTTGGCTGGTTGTGGGTGCAACCCAGGGCATGTTAGCATTGCAAAGATTGCCTGGAAAAGGGGTTTGCAGTTCCTCCTGATTCTCAGAATTCTTTTTTTTTTTTTTGAGACAGAATCTTGCTCTGTTGCCCAGGCTGGAGTCTCGGCTCACTGCAACCTCTGCCTCCCGGGTTCAATTGAGTCTCCTGCCTCAGCCTCCCGAGTGGCTGGGATTACAGGCCCCCGCCACCATGCCTGGCTAATTTTTTGTATTTTTAGTAGAGATGGGGGTTTCACCATGTTGACCAGGCTGGTCTCGAACTACTGATAGCAGGTGATCCTCCCACCTTGGCCTCCCAAAGTGCTGGGATTACAGTCATGAACCATCACGCCCATCCAGTTCTCAGAATTCTGACACTGAGGCCAGAGACTAGAAAAACCTTCCAGCGCAGGACAGGTGCCAGGAAGCCCTGAGATGGGCGGCATCCTTGGAAATCAGTGCAGCCCCTCCCGTGACAGACGTGTCACAGAGGCTGGCCGGCCCTGAGGATGGGGTCAGGGCTGTCCCTGGGGCCAGTGGCAGCTTCTGTGCAAGCCGGAGACAGTGAATGCGGGTCCCTGGTCTAGTGCTGACCTGCAGGAGTAGCACCACTCCACACACGACCTTCTGTGTGAAGGGGCTGTCAACTCCACCTGGGACAGCAGGCTTGGATGCATGCTGTCTCGGCTCGACTGGAGTGTGGGGTCACCCTGCTGGCTGAAGCTCCCACCAGGACAGAGGGAAGGGGGCAGTTAGAACCATCTTTGGAGCTTGACCTGGCTTCCAGGTGGGTTTTTTTGTCTGGCACTCGAGAATCTTGGTGTGATGGATGTAGGTCCATGCAGTTGATACCCAGAGTGACCTGCAGTCTTCTGCAATGTTACTGGATATAGGAATCAGTTTTTAAGATGCAGAGGTGGGCTTTCTTCAACACCTTGGAAGCTCGAACCAAGATAGTCATTGTGCTCTCTAGAGGGAAAGAATTTGGAAGAACTGCACTTTTTAACACCCTGAGAGGAGGTAAAGAGTTGTCTTGTTCCTTCATTCCAGTGGCTCTCAAACTTGGGCATACATTAGGATCACCTGGAAGGCTGATTCAAACAGGCTGCTATAATCCCAGCCACTTGGGAGGCTGAGGTGGGAGGATCACTTGAGGTCAGGAGTTCAAAACCAGCTAGAGCCGGACTCCATGTCAAACAAAACAAAACCACACAGGTCGCTGCCCCAACACCCCAGGGTGTTTGCATTTCTAACTCATTCCTAGGTGATGTCGATGCTGCTGACCTGGAGACCACTCCTCGAGAATGATTTTTTTATAAGAAGAAAAAGAACAAAGATTTATCGAGCACTTAGTATGTGTATGCTAAGCTTACTTCTTTTTAATTTTCTGAGATATAATTCACATTCCATAACATTCACTCTTTTAAAGTGAAAGATTTAGTGGTTTTTAGTATATTCACTAGGCTGGGCATCCATCATCACTAATTCCAGAACATTTTTATCTATGCTGCCATTCTCCACTTCCCTACCTGCCCCCGGCTTTGCCCCAGCAACCATCAATGTATTTTGACTCTGTACATTTTTCCCATTCTAGACATTTCTTCATATAAATGGAATCATACAATATGTTGTCTTTTGTGTATGGCTTCTTTCACTTTCCATAATATGTTTGAGGTTCATCCATGTTGTAGCATGTATTATGATACTCCATTCCTTCTTATTGTTGAATAATACCCCATGGTGTGATACACCACATTGTGTTTATTTTCTGTTGATTGACATTTGGATTGTTTTCCCTTCTTATAATGTTGCCATGAACATTTGTGTACAAGTCTTTGTGTGAGTATGTTTTTAATTCTCTTGGGCGTACATCAAGGAGTGGTATTGTTGGGTCATGTGGTACAACTCTGTTTAACTTTTTAAGCAATGACCAAACTGCTCTCCAAAGCAGCTGTACTACTTCACCTGCCCACCAGCACTATATATGAATTCTAGTTTTTCCAATTCTCCTCAAGACTTGTTACTGTCTTTCTTTTTCTTCATGGCCATTTCTAGAGGGTGGGAAGTGGTATCTCACTGTGGTTTGGATTTCCATTTTCCTGATGACTAATGACTCTAGTGTTGATGAGGTTTCTGCCTCCCTGAGCCTGGGAATAGGGTTCCCATGAAGGAGGCAAAGTTGGCATGTGTCTTGGTGTCAGCATTTGAGGGTCAAATCACAGCAAGCCTGACATAGGCACCTCTGGGCATTTTGGCTTTTGGGAACCATTACATTCCCCTTTTGTGTTAGCCAGTTTTGGTTGGGTTTTCTGTCATCTGTAACCAAGAGAGTCCTCAGTGATACACGTTACCACCAAGAATACTCCATGTGGTCAAATCAGCTTTTTCAATAGGTTTTTTATTGAAATGGTTATATCAGCAAATTCTGCACATACAGGTGTACACTGTTGGCATATAAGTATATACCATACAATTTCACTACTTGATTATACTTACACCAACCATGCAGACCTAGGAATTGTGCTGCCCAGAACATTCCAAAGGGTTGATGAGATCTGATTGTCAAGAACGAGCTCACGCTCTACTTGTAGGTGTTTGCGTTCCAGACGAGAAAACTATCCCTACAGGGAGGCCCAAAACTGAGCTAATCGTGTTTTGCTTCTTCAGTATTTACTGCTCTTTCTGGCACAAGCAATCCAATGGTGAATTAAAATTCAAGTGCATAGTTTCCTTTTCATCCCTCAAGGTGGAAGATAAGTCATTTGCCACATTTAGGTATATCCCAAGCCTCCCCACCCCACATTACCTGTGCTATAGTTAGAAAAATAGTTTTGTATGCCATATTCTGAGAGGCTGTGCATAGTGAGCAGGAACCTGGAGTAAGGTAGGCTCTTTGAATGACCCAAATATGAAAGGGGCAACTTTGATATTTTATGAGTATAAAAGCTACTGAGGGTTCAAAACAATTGTGACATATGTGGCCTAGGACCTGCACCAGCTCCTTTTTCTGTACGGGAACAGAATGCTTCTATCAGGTGACAATGTTCTCCATACTCCAAATATCATTTTCTAGCTTGGAGCCTTTTCCTGTCTTTGTAATCATACTGGACAAGTTTGTTGTTGTTGTTAGAGTTATTGCCTCTCTGCAGTAGATCCTGCCTCCAATTCTCAGCTTAAGATACCAGATTCTGGCCCCAAGCCCGTCAGGAGATCCACTCCTCCAGCTGGCTCAGCAAACCAGGCTCAGGCTGCCTGGAGAAGCACCCTCTCTGTTCTCTCCAGGATGGCACATGTCATCTCAGGTTGGGCACTCAGCAAAGGTGCTGGGACCTGGAACTGGGCCATACCTACTGGCCCAGTCCACAGAGCACAGCTGGCAATCCATAGCCCTTCTGCTATAAGAGTGCTTACTCACCTGAAGGAAGAGAAATGGCAGGGATGTTATATTCCACCTAATCACCTCCCCCCACCATTTCTTTACAAACATCTTGGTTCAGTACCTCCCAGTCATTGGAGAAGTCCTTTAATATCACATAGCGTAAATATACTTGCACTTAATTGGAGATAAAGGGCATTCCAAAAGCAAATTTGAATTTACTTTGTGTGGGGTTAAATTTGTAAACCACAGCTCAGAACCATTGTCTATGATGCTCCACAGATGTTGGTGGCTGTACAGAGAGGTGGCTAGGGAAGGTGATGATCTGAGGATGTGTGGGGGACTGAGGAGGCCAAGTCAGCCTGGCCAGGTGACCATGTTCTGCAGGGAGCTGGGTGGCCTGAGAGGACAGCAGAGGGGCCCGGAGCCTCCCGCCTTGACTGAGAGGAGCCTGCTCACCATGTGCACCTTGAGTTCCCAAAGGACAATGCATATGCGCTAGGCGAGGCACCACCCTCAGCTTGGGCCACTAGCGCTGTTTTCCCAGGGCTGGCTGGGCCACCTAGAACTTTTGTGGTGTGTGCACAGGGAGGAAGAGTCAACAGGAGGAACTCCACAGCCCAGGCAAAGGTCTGAGCTGGCCAGCAGCACTGACTCCTTCTGAAAGCTTAAAACTCAAGTTGCAGGATGTTGAAAGGTTTATTTATTTTTTTCTTTTCCATAAAGGATCTTCCTTCTTCCGCAAGTTAGAGTGAAGAAAACAGAAAAAAATAGCTTGAGTCTAGGGTGGAAAAAGAAGGAAAACCTCTGATGAGTCCAGGTGATGACTGGGCAGCCCCCTGCAGGATCTTTGTGAGAGTACGGGAGCCAAGACTCGGGCATGGGAACGTCACCCTTTCAGCAGCCAAGGCAGATGGCACCTTCCCCTCCACAGTCACTGGAGGCTGTGGGGCCACAGCTGTGGAGAACACAGGCGGCTGGAAACCCTCTTGGCCTCTCTTCTTCAAAGCTCAGTTTATTGGGATCTTCCAGGAAACCCACAAAAAAGAGGGTGAACCTTTAGCCATACCCCAGAGAAGCTTCATGGCTACAGGGAGCCTCCTGCTCCCCAACTGAGACCTCACAGCCAGGCCTCAGGGGCCAGTGTGACCTGGAAACTTGGAGCCCCCATGAGTCACAGGGCCAGCCAGTCCCATGACTCGCAAGGAGAATGTTCCTCCGAGGTGCAGATTTGGAGGCTCACACTTCGCTTTCCTTGAAGTTGCCTCAGACAATGAGGAAGAGAATTCCAAGAAGTAAACACAGGCACCTTCTTCCTGCCTGCCTTCTTCCTGTTTTTTTCTGATGCTACAATACTTCAAACACAAAAGGGCTTCTCCCAGTCTTTCTGCAAGACTCTTCACCACAACCAAGGGTGCTGTGCGAATATTACAATCAACAGCCTTTCCTAATGGGCCAAAAGGAGGGTGTGTGGAAGCTTTGGAATGTTTCACCCAACAAGGCCAAAATACAAGACAGAACTCCATGCCCCTTATGTATAACATTTGCCCTAACCGGACCTGGGAGGGGAAGGCGCCTATTTTAAGCTGTGGGTGTCGCCCTGTGATGAGGATCCCTTACTCATCTCCCCACACTCTCTGACAGTATGAGCCAGTGTTGAGTTTAGTCACATTAAACTCTGCTTCTGGGTGACACTGAACACAGGAGATGAAGTGACGGCTAGTTGGACTGCCTTTCTTGAAGAAAGAAATCATTTTCAATTGCTTTTCTAAATCAATTGCCTTCAGTAGCTCCTCTCCACATCTTAAATGTCAGGGCTTTATCCCAAGCCCCATCCTCATGTCACTAGGGGGTCCCAGCCCCACTCTGGCTTCCACCTCCATCTGAACTCAGGGACACCTCTCCTGGCCAGCCCCTCTTGGGAGATTCTGCCTCCATTGAGTGTGAGTGTGTGCATACCTGTGGAGGTGTGTTGGCGGAGGGAGGAGGAAGGAAGAGATTTGGGTGCTATAGATATTGTGATTACATGGAGGTGTTCAGCAGGACAAGATGGCATGTCCTCTTAAAACACAGCTTCTGACTGGGGGTGGTGGCTCATGCCTATAATCCCAGCACTTTGAGAGGGTAAGGTGGGCAGATCATTGGAGCCCAGGAGTTTGAGGCTAGGCTGGGCAACATGGAGAAACTCTGTCTTTAAAACAATTAAAAATTAAGCCAGGTGTGGTGTCACACACCTGTAGTCCCAGCTACTTGGGAAGCTGAGTCAGGAGAATCCCTTGAACCTGGGAGGTGGAGGTTGCAGTGAGCCAAGATTGCACCATTGCACTCCAGCCTGGACAGAGCGAGACTCGTCTCAAAAAAACAACAACAAAAAAAATTAGCTGGGCATGGTGGTATGCACCTGTAGTCCCAGTTACTCTGGAGGCAGAGGTAGGGGTATCACTTTAACCTAGGAGGTTGAGGCTGCAGTGAGCTGAGATCACACCACTAAACTCCAGCCTGGGAAATAGAGTGGGACCCTGTCTCTAAAAAATTTAAGAAACATAGAAACACAGCTTCACAGGCATTCTGATGCAGGGGTCTGCACCTTGGCCAGCTACCCCCCCCACTGAACCTCCACCTGGGCACCAGGTTCACACCTCCATGCCCCCTTCCAGAGCCCCTGCCAGCCCAGACCTAAAATATCCCCACAGGGCTCTCCCTGGGTCCCCCCAATACCCACCCAGGCACCAGGACTGGAAGCCTAGGCTTCTGCTTCAATCTCCCTCCTTTTCCACTTGCCATCAGAGCCTGGTGTGGGGTCTGTGAATGCCTTCCTTTTGCCTTGGCCCCTCAGGCAGGACTGGCATCCCAGCCCTCCCCAACCCCTAGTGCGGTTCCTTTTCTTTCCAAACAGAGACAGGAGTCTGGTCCCCTTGGTAAGTCTTCCCTGCCCAGGAAGTGCTGCCCTTGCCTCCTGGCCATTGTCCACACCTCCTCGCCACTGTTCCCTCAGGCCTCTCTATGGCTGCAATGCCTCCCCTCCACCTGTGCCCTGGAAGTCCCTCCTCATCCAGATTCACCCTCCTATCATTTGCTCTCATACCCTAGTTGGTTGATAATACGCTCATTGTATAAAACAGCCAAAATCTCAATGGTCATGGATTCACTCCAACTTCAAGTATGTGTGTTTGGCACAGAGGGCTGAATAAAAGTCTACTGACAATATTAACTGTACAGTCCCACTCTTTTCCTTCTACATTCTGCTTCACTAAAATCAGTGTTTTTCTTTCATGACATTTATGAGCAGCATCCACTTGTCAAGGAATCACATTGTCACTTGCCAGTGGTTAATGTCAACCACTGATATTAACGTCACCTCCTTGTTTTCCTATAGCAGAGTCAGTGCCTCAATAATAAAGGTTAACAGCAGGAGAATACTTTGATTTTTCTTCAGTTAAAACTATCTTCAGCTGGGCATGGGGGGAGTGGCCTGAGCCTGTGGTCCCAGCTACTGGGGAGGCTGAGGTGAGAGGATCACTTGAGCCCAGGAGGTCAAGGCTGCAGTGAGCCATGATTGTGCCATTGTACTCCTGCCTGGGCGATGGAGTGAGATCCTGTCTCTAAAAAAATTAAAGTGTAAAAAAAATTTTATTTAGCATGTACCTCAATGAATGGATTGGATGGATATGAAGGTAAACATGAGAAGAGCTTATACAGCCTATAGGAAATGTAAAGTTTGTAAAATTCAGTAATCTCATTTTAAAAAATACTTTTCCAAATATCATCAGACTCACTGGCAGCTGGGACTGTTGCCACATCACGGAAGCTGACAGGTGCCAGACCAGAGGTCAAGGCAGTGCCTCATGGACATGTCTCTTAGCCAGGCCTGAGGACCACTGGGGAGCTGGGAGATGGGGCCTATCTGCAGAAGCAAGGCTCTTCAGGATTGTGATGCGTTTTTAGCTGGGGATAGAGCTTGTCTTCCCAAGTGGAGGGCGGAGGCAGGCAGCCCTGGGCAGACATGCTCACCAACACCAGTGGCTGAGCTCTGCCTCCTTCGGTGGAAGCTCTGGCTGTCTGGCCTCCCTTCTTCTCCTCCTGGAATAATAGGAAAGAAGGCTACTATGGGCAGTTTTAACATCCTCCCTTAGCATGTTAAAAACCACCAAAGTGGACGGGTGCGTTGGCTCATGCCTGTAATCCCAACATTCTGGGAGGCTGAAGCAGGCAGATCACGAGGTCAAGAGTTTGAGACCAGCCTGGCCAATATAGTGAAACTCCATCTCTACTAAAAATACAAAAATTAGCTGTGTGTGGTGATGCAAGCCTGTAGTTTCAGCTACTCAGGAGGCTAAGGCAGAAGAATTGCTTGAACCCGGGAGTAGGAGGTTGCAGTGAACTGAGACTGCGCCACTGCACTCCAGCCTGGGTGACAGAGTGAGACTCTGTCTCAAAAAAAAAAAAAAATCACCAAAGCTTAAGCCTGTGCATTTCAATAGTCACAACCAACTCCCAGAGGATGCAGCTGGCTGCCCTGGCTCTAGACCTGCTCATCCTGCCACACATGCCATAGTTCTGCTCACCTGGGCACAGGCCCAGCTCACAGCAGTCCACTGGAGGCAGGGAGGGGGTGTGGTGTAAACAGCTGACTCCTCAGCCCCTTCCCTGCTTCAAATAGCTCCCCCCTCAACAATGACTGAAGTTATCATACATTTCCAAATAACTGCTGCTGGTGGCAAGACTTGCAACAACTGAGACACTCATTGTTTGCACCCCACCACACCTTCAGCAGGCAGAACACTGCTCCCAAGTGCCTCAGAGTAGCACTGCCCATGTGGAGACATGCGTCCTCACAATGCTTGCCTGACTGGCAGCCCCAGCCACTTCCGTACCAGGGTCCCAGCTTAGCACGGATTTCCCCCAGCATAGCAGCTAGTAAAGAGGCTTTCATTTGAGATTAAAAAAAAAAAAATGCCATTCTTGTCTGGGCATGGTGGCTCACACCTGGAATCCCGGAACATTGGGAGGCTGAGGTGGGGGTGGATTGCTTAAGCCCAGGAGTTCAAGACCAGCCCGGGCAACACGGCGAAGTCCCATGTCTCTAGAGAAAATACAAAAATTAGCTGGGCATGGTGAATTGTGCCTGTGGTTCCAGCTACTCTTGGGCTGAGGTAGGAGGATCACTTGAGTCCAGGAGGTGGAGGCTGCAGTGAGCCGAGGTTGTGCCACTGAACTCCAGCCTGGGTGACAGAGTGAGACCCTGTCTCAAAACAAAAACAAAAATCAGAAACCAAAAACCAAACAACCTCTGTACTTCTGAAGAACAAGATCTTAATGAGAAGTTAGTGTCCCTCCTGACAAAGATAGGACATTCTGTAGCTGAGTCAGAGAATGACCCCGATTTTCCAGAGAAGGGTGTCAAGCTAAGACCCGGAGCACTGTTCTGAGTATACTCCCGTAAGGAATGCCTCCTTGGTTATTCTACAGTAAATGTGTGCCCCAAATTTCCCAGAAATTCAAATGTTATATTGATAGACAGATTCTAGGGGCCTGAAATTGTTATTTCTTCTTAAGTAATTTCATACTTTTTCAGTAAAGAAACTGTGTTGAAGCCAGGCATGGTGGGTCATGCCTGTAATCCCAGCACTTTGGGAGGCCAAGGCGGGTGGATCACCGGAGGTCAGGAGTTTGAGACCAGCCTGGCCAACATGGTGAAACCCCATCTCTACTAAAAATACAAACATTAGCCGGGTGTGGTGGCGCACGCCTGTAGTTCCAGCTATTCAGGAAGCTGAGGCAGGAGAATAGCTTGAACTCGGAGGTGGAGGTTGCAGTGAGCCAAGATTGCACCACTGCAATCAAGCCTTGGTGACAGAGTCAGACTTTGTCTCAAAAAAAAAAAAAATGTTGAGTGGAATTTAATGTATATGCCTTTGTAAGACCTCAAATCAGGAGAAAATGCTACACTGGGGTCTGAGTTTTGGTTTGGGAAAACAAGGAGGTGATACAGACAACATGGCAACAATCAGAACTGAGCTGTCCTATCTTTCAGGGGGGCTAAGCACATACACATGCAGGCACGTGTCTAGAACCTCCAGCAGCCTCCTGCAGACTCATTCTCCCTCTGAGAGCCCAATGGAAAAACTTGTTTTTCTGAACTATGGTATATTGAAATTGCTCATTGAAAATATTTTTATAGTACAAAGACTATAGTAAAGAAAAAAACCCCCAAAAGCCCTTGGTAAAAGGTAAAACACAAAAGCTGCTAACACCTTTAAAATCTGCACCGTTCTAGTCTCAAACAAGTGAAAACAAAATGCCACTGCTTGCTCTCTGACAACACTCATGAAGGCTGTCCCCATCCAGGGCTCTGCAGGTTTCTTTCAGGCATACCTGTGTTTGAGGCATGTTACTGGTGCATTATGAGAAAAGACACTCAGGAGAAGCTGCACGTGGGAAAATGGGAAGTGTTCACTTCAAACTTATGTTCCACAGTCAGTGAGAACAGGGCGGGGGATTCACGTGTCTGCTCGGTTTGCTACCAAATCACACCCTAGGCACGCAGAGACTGAGGTTTCTGTTCTCACAACAAGGGTCTGTACACCTCACGCCTCCACGCAGCTCATACCAATAAGGAGAAGCAGATTCAACTCGGTTGTGTCCTTTTGCAGAGGGTGTACAGATTTTTGCTTATTTTGCAAAACAGATTTGCCCATGGTGGTTCTGTACTGGAATCACTTGTAAGATGCAAATTTCTCATCATGTTAATTCGGTGTCATCCAAGATGTGTGGGAGAATCCCGCATGTCCGTGATGCCCGGCATGCTGGCTGCTGCACCATCCTGTAAGCCTGGCAGCCAGTGCTCCTGTGCCTTTTTCATGCTATGCTGGGGCTGGTGGGGAGGACTGGGCTGCACAGTGGACACTGAAGATGGGTGCTTCTCTGGTATTTGCAGCAAGATGGGGGTTCAGTCTTCCCAATGAGACATTCCAGATCATTCTGTTTTTCACAATTGCTGACCATCCCCCCTAAAATCACTGTGCCCAGAGACACTGCTGTGCCGGGCTCCCAGGTGCTACCTCCCTATACACACACCTCAGGGGTGGCCGAGTAGACATGTCTACAGGCTGCAGGGATGGAGGGGCCTTCAGTGTTTTCGTGCTGACATAAACACTTGTCACTTTACGTCATGCTCAACACGGAGGCTGGAAAATGGCGATGCAGATGGCTGCCTGGCCCTGCACATAGACCCGGCCCCACAGCCTGCGTCTCCCATGGCCCTGCCCTGGCAGGAAGTGGGTGATCAGCGTCTCAGGAGGAGGTACAAAGGCAAGGACTTTTCTCAACACCCTTTAGAAGAGGCTCTTCAGCAGGAAGTAGAATAAGCAAGAGGGGCCCATCCAGAGTAGGTCAGGGAGCAGCACCTGCATTCCGCAGGGGTAGGAAGCTTCTCCCACAGGGCAATATGCATCGTAAGCAGGGACCACAAAAGGATGTTAAAAACTCCAGCTTCCCTGGAACAGAACAGCATGAGATGCATCTGCAATGCAACATGAATCCCAGGCCCAGCCTCTTCTCTGGAAACAGCCAGGCTTGCTAGGTGCCCACCTTCAATAATCAGCTTGGACGCATTTTCAATTCCACAAGGCTCACCTGGGCAATACTGCTGTCCTCAAAGCCTCGCCTTGGGGGAACTTTGCAAATTAACCCTGAACCCCAGCCTGTGCTTGAAAGTGCTGCCATTCTTCCAAAACGGATGCTGACAGAATACAAAATAAGAAAGGTGATCAGAAATCAAATCACAAAAGCAGTGACCCTACAGCCCATGTTTCAAAATCAGGTTTTGTTCTCATCATATATGTCCAAAGAAGGTTCAATTGTGGAGAATTCACTTTCATACACCAGACTCCGAGGGGACAAAGAGTTTCGATGAAAGAAGTGACCACCTGAAAAAGAAGAATAAAAAGAGGCTTAATAGGTCATCAGGCCTATGTTTCCCATAGAGCTTGGAAGAAACAATGTGGATTATCTTTGAAGCATGACATTTTCTTAAATATCCTTCATTTGAGGCTCTTATTAGAGAAATGGAAAGAGTGTGGGCATCCTTCAATTCAAGCATGCTTTAAGCATCTAAGTCCCAATCTTTGGATCCCCAAGGGACTAACCACTGGAGCTCCTCAAAGCAAAAGCTGCCTAGTGCTTTTTTTTTTTTTGAGACAGAGTTTGGCTGTTGTTACCCAGACTGGAGTGCAATGGCACGATCTCGGCTCACCGCAACCTTCACCTTCTGGGTTCAAGCAATTGTCCTGCCTCAGCCTCCTGAGTAGCTGGGACTACAGGCACGCACCACCATGCCCAGCTAATTTTTGTATTTTTAATAGAGACGGGGTTTCACCTTGTTGACCAGGATGGTCTCGATCTCTTGATGGTCTCCTCCTGAGACTCTGACCACCCACTTCCTGCCAGGGCAGGGCCATGGGAGATGCAGGCTGTGGGGCCGGGTCTATATGCAGGGCCAGGCAGCCATCTGCATCGCCATTTTCCAGCCTCCGTGTTGAGCATGACGTAAAGTGACAAGCGTTTATGTCAGCACGAAAACACTGAAGGTCCCTCCATCCCTGCAGCCTGTAGACATGTCTACTCGGCCACCCCTGAGGTGTATATATAGGGAGGTGGCACCTGGGAGCCGGCACAGCAGTGTCTCTGGGCACAGTGATTTCAGGGGGGATGGTCAGCAATTGTGAAAAACAGAATGATCCACAACTGTGGATCAAGAGATCAGCAATTGTGATCCACCCGCCTCGGCCTCCCAAAGTGCTGGGAATCTAGGCTTAAGCCACCGCGCCCGGCCCCTAGTGCTCTCAAAAGGATTCCACTTAGAGATGTGAACTCTTGGCCAGGCACAGTGGCTCATGCCTATAATCCCAGCACTTTGGGAGGCTGAGGTGGGCAGATCACGAGGTCAAGAGATCGAGACCAGCCTGCCCAATATGGTGAAACCCCATCTCTACTGAAAATACAAAAATTAGCTGGATGTGGTGACTTGTACCTGTAGTCCCAGCTGTTTGGGAGGCTGAGGCAGGAGAATCGCTTGAACCTGAGAGGCGGAGGTTGCAGTGAGCCAAGATCGCACCACTGCACTCCAGCCTGGCAATATAGCGAGACTCTGTCTCAAAGAAAAAAAAAGAAAGAGAGAAATGTAAAGACTCTTTCCTGGACACACCATCTTATGGAGGACTGCCCCCAGACGTCTCATCTGAGCACCTGTTCTGGTTTGGTCCTGGGGAGAGGCATGGAGTCCCCTCATCAGCTGGGCAGACTTGGGGGCTCTGATTATATATATATATATAATTATTATTTATTTTTTTAGATGGAGTTTTGCTCTTGCTGCCCAGGCTTGAGGGCAGTGGCGTGATCACAGCTTACTGCAACCTCTGCCTCCCAGGCTCAAGTGATTCTCCTGCCCAGCCTCCCCAGTAGCTGGGATTACAAGCACCTGCCACCATGCCTGGCTAGATTTTGTAATTTTAGTAGAGATGGGGTTTTACCATATTGGCCAGGCTGGTCTCAAACTCCTGACCTCAGGTGATCCGCCTGCCTCAGCCTCCCAAAGTGCTGGGATTACAGGCATGAGTCACTACACCCGGCCTCGGATAATATATTTTAAAGTTTATAATTATATGAAAGTTAAAGCTTCATATGGTTTAGTTCATTCCACATGTGTTCTTAAGACCAGTAGTCTCCACTTCTCAAAGATAGGCACTTTTAGCTGATTCTTAGCATTTACTTCCATGTCTCTAGTAATATGCCTATATTGGTCCTTCTGAATTTTTTCAGTCTTAGACTTTATGAATTCCCACTGTGGAACATGAGGATTTTCTCCTAACGCCCGCCCCCACATTGCACATACTTTCCATTGCCTCGATATAATTATATTTGATTTTAAAATTCCATATTTAGGTTATTTGACTATTTGTGCTACTCAAAGCTAAGCCATGCTTACATTGCCTTTCTACTAAACTGTTTGTAAGTTTTACTGGTGTATAACTGACATACAATGAAATGCACATGTTTAAAGTACATAATTTGGTGAGTGCTGACATCTGTACACACCAGTGACACCATCACCAGAATGAAGATAAGGAACATATCACCCCAAAGTTTCCTGGTGCCTCACGATAATCCCTTCCCCTTCTTTCTACCCTACTCCTATTGCCAGGGAAACATAGGTTAGTTTGAATCTTTCTAGAATTTTATATAAATGGAATTACATATTATATATTGGCTCTCACAAAGTTGCTATGAACATCTGTGCACATAGGTTGTGTGAACATATGCTTTCATATCTCCTAGATCTGTAAATACTCAGGAGTGAAATGACTGAGAAAAAAGGAACTTTTACAGAAACTGCCAAGCTGTTCTAGGATAGTCCTATTGGCAGCGTACAGAAGTCCCAGCTCCTTTTTATACTCACCAACACTTGACATGGTCAGTCTTGGAAAAGTTTAGGCATTCCAGCAGGAGTGTAGCAGTTTCTCATTGTGGTTTTAATTTGCATTTCCCTGATGACTAATGATGCTGAGCATCTTTTCATGGGATTATTAGCCAACTGTATATCTTCTTTTGTGAATTGTTTTCTTCAACTCTTTAGCCCATTAAAAAAACTGGGCTTTTAAAAAAAATTTCTGTTTTTAAATTTTTTTGAGACAGTCTTGCTCTGTTACTCAGGCTGGAGTGCAACGGTGTGATCTCAGCTAACTGGAACCTCCATCTCCTGTGTTCAAGAGATTCTTGTGCCTCAGCCTCCAGAGTAGCTGAGATTACAGGTGTGGGCCACAATGCCTGGCTAATTTTTGTATTTTTAATAGAGACAGAGTTTCACCATGTTGGCCAGGCTGGTCTCGAACTCCTGAGCTCAAGTGATCTGACTCAGCCTCTCAAAGTGCTGAGATGATAGGCACAAACCACCATGCCTGGCTTGGGCTGTCTTCATATTATCAAGTATATGAGTTTTTAAAAACTTCTAGGCTGGGCATGGTGGCTCATGCTTGTAATCTCAGCACACTGTGAGGCTGAGGCAGATCACTTGAGCTCAAGAGTTCAAGACCAGCCGAGGTAACATGGCAAAACCCTGTCTCTAATAAAAACACAAAAAGGAGCCAGGTGTGGTGGTGAGCATCTGCAGTCCCAGCTACTTGGGAGACAGAGATGGAGGATTACTTGAATCCAGGAAGCAGAGGCTGCAGTGAGCTAAGATTGCATCTACGCCCTCCAGCTTGGGCTACAGAGCGAAACCCTGTCTTAAAAAAAAAAATTAAATACAAAAAATTCTAGATACAAGTCTTGTCAGACATACATTTTACAAATATTTCCTCCCAGTCTGTGGCTTGCTTTACCATTTTTATAACAATATCTTTTGAATATTAAAAGTTTCAAATTTTGGTAAGGTCAAATCAATTGATTTTTTTCTTACTATAGTTTGTGCTTTTTGTGTCACATTTAAGAATTCTAAGGTTACTAAGATTTTCTCCCAATGTGTTTATCTAGAAGCTTTATAGTCTTAGTTTTTAATACTTAGATAGTCCACTTCAAGTAAATCTTTGAAAATGGTAGAAAATAAGGGTTGGAGTTCATTTATTTTTTTTTTTTGCATATGGATAACCAATTGTTCTATTGTCGATTGTTTAAAAGATTATCCTTTCCCCCACTGAATTGTGTTGGCACCTTTATGGAAAATTTATTGATTGTAAATGTGTGGGTCTGTTTCTGGGCACTATTCTGTTCCAGCAATCCATTTGTCTGTCTTTATACCGTTAAATTAAATTTAAACTAAACTGTTTCCTTACATTTTTTTTTTTTTGAGACGGAGTCTCACTCTTGTTATCCTGGCTGGAGTGCAATGGCGCCATCTCGGCTCACCGTAACCTCCGCCTCCTGGGTTCAGGCAATTCTTCCGCCTTAGCCTCCTGAGTAGCTGGGATTACAGGCATGCGCCACCTTGCCCAGCTAATTTTTTGTATTTTCAGTAGAGACGGGGTTTCACCCTATTGACCAGGATGCTCTCGATCTCTTGACCTCGTGATCCACCCGCCTCGGCCTCCCAAAGTGCTGGGATTACAGGCTTGAGCCACCGCGCCCGGGTCTTTCCTTACAGATTTTAAGTTCGGCCTAACGGTTTCTCCATACACAGTGAACTATCACCTAACTGGATGTGTGAGAGTGTAACCTACTCTTGTACCAAGAAGCGGAGTCTCAGCCAATCCCAGAAGCTGAGTTTCAGCCAATCACAAGTGGCCAACAGCGCAAACCATGTTCAGCGAGGCAAAGGCCGAGCTTCACCCATTCAGCTGTTTCCGTACCACATCACCTCCCTTTCCTATACCTCACTTCCCTTTTTCTGTCCATAAATCCAACCATGGGGCAGCCCTGGAGTTGCTCTGAACCTATTTTGGTCCTGCGGGCTGCCTGATTTTTCAATCATTCTTGCTCAATTAAACTCTTTTAAATTTAGTTTCTCTAATTTTTTTTTGAGACAGAGTCTTGCCCTGTTGCCCAGGCTGGAGTGCAGTGGCACGATCTTGGCTCACTGCAACCTCTACCTCCGGGTTCAAGCGATTCTCTCGCCTCAGCCTCCAGAGTAGCTGGGATTACAGGCATCTGCCACCATGCCTGGCTAATTTTTGTATTTTTAGTAGAGACAGGGTTTCATCATGTTGGCCAGGATGGTCTCAAACTCCTGATCTTGTGATCTGCCTGCCTTGGCCTCCCAAAGTGCTGGGATTACAGGCATGTGCCACCGTGCCCGGCTAAATTTTTCTTTTAAGAACACTAACACCATATAGTCTTGATTTCTGTAGCCTTGAAATGAGGATTAGAAATTCTTCAACTTGATGGGGATGGAGGGTTGCCCCTAAAAATCTCAACAGATTACCCAACAGATGAGTAT